AGGTATGATATACGGACTTGACTGGCTTGACACGACACAGGTGTACAACGTTTATTGGTCGTTACCTCAAACTTGGGTAATTAAACCGATGTCATGGTCTTTTAAGAAATGTATAAAATGAAATCAAACAAAGGTAAAAACGGCGGCGTGCGTGCGATTGAGCGAGGTGTTTTTATAGCGCTTTCTTTCTTGTGTTTTGTCTCGGCGACGGCTTCTGCGCGGTTGTTGCCATTTGGTCCAGACACTACAATAAATTCTTTCAGACAAAATATAATTTGCAGATCGTAACAGCGATACTGCCACCCAAGCTTAAAGTTGTAAGTCACTTTCAATAATGGATAATTCTTTTTCCAGTTGTTGGATTTTTGCTGAGCATTGTGTGAGTCCATCGCGAGCATTAGCGAGTTGTTGCCATATAGGTTCGCTTTTCTCTGGAAGATCGCATAAAGCGGAGTGGTGGTTCTGACTTCTGCAATGATAACATTTAGTGCCAAATTTTCTGCAAAGATTACCTCCGACGCAATATAATTCTAAACAAAGTTGACATCTTCCTTTTTGTTCCAAGATTCTCCAGCGTTCTTGTATATCACGAAACGATGGACATTTGTCTGAATAGTGTTCGCCGCGTAGTTCGCAAAATGCGCAACGTGTGGCTCTATCTGCTTCAAAGGTGATGGGCCCTTCATCGAAATTTCTTGGAGGGCAAAAACGTTGATGTTTGAGTTCATCTATGATTTGGTTAAAATTGTTTCTTCCTTGTCGTAGCTGTTCGATTTCTTGCAGGATTTGTATTTTTCTCATTTCTTTCTGTTGAGCTTCGTGGTCAGCATCGGTGTCCATTTCTTCTCGTTCCTTTTCCAGGCTTTCCATGAAATCGATGTTTTTTAGTATGGCAGCCTGTTCCTTTTTGCCTTCTGTGTTGGTGTCGTCTGAATCATCATGACTCGTCCTCTGGTCGTCGTTGGAATGCGCGTCTTTCTGATCTTGCGATAACTGTTTGGTTTCTTCGAGTACGGAATCGACTGATTGTTGTAGATTTTTGATTTCCTGTTTTATTTCTTCGAGGAAACTGATGATTTTTCTCAGTTGCGTAAGTCGAATGGGGTCGAGCGAGAGTGAGGAGGTTCGTGCGTGGCGTTGCGTAGGCTTTTCCATTTTCTGAAAGAAAATTTTGTGATTTATTTGATGTGAAAAAAAATTTTTTTTTTGTATTTTTTTTTTTTCATGCCACTTGAGAGCTTTGGTTTTTGAGTGCATGATGTAATGCAAAAATAGCGCGTATTGGAAGGCGGCACAAGGTCCATATTAGTCGTAAAAGTTTACGAACGAAGTACCAGCCGAATGTGTTCAAAAATATATATGAAAGCAAAAGTGCGAGCGCAGTTATGGATAGTATTGTAATTAGAGTTTTGTAGTAGCTGAGAAAGACATCTTTAATGTGTGATAGATCAGGTAGTGTGATTTCATTGAAGACTGAACTCTGTTTTTCTAAGGTACTTAAGAGAGGATCTTGATAGGTATTAATGTATTTCAAAGTTCCCATCAATGTAAAGCTACTTTCTGATTTTCCACAAGAAACTTTGCAATCTATCTTTTGTTTCGCGGTTTCAAAATGGAATTCTAGCGTTGATTCTTGTCTTTGTGGTCCGCATGGTATTACAAAAGCGTTGTTCGCGCAAAAAACCTCTCCGAGAATTTTGTTTCTTGAGTAACACTGTATTTTGGCTACGGCTCCTTTGCGACAGCTGTAACACCCTTCGAGGGTTGAAGTACTTTCTACAAAGCATTCACGATTTGTAACTTCTAGTATAGCCATGTCGTAAGTGTTGTTCAATTCGATGATGAATTCGGCAGTGACCATATGAGGAATTTTAGCATATACTGAATTTTTGGCCTGTCTGAGTTCCCATGATGCCGTTCTTACAGGTAGTTTTTTGTCAATTTGCTGGAACTTATCGTCGATGTCTATTTCTTCGCATTCGCAATTGACAGTTGATTCCGCCGGAGCGCATCTACAGTTATCCTGGAGAGTGCAATTGAGATTCCTAGCTTCTGATCGAGTTTGACAGTAAAGTGGAGGTTTTGCAATGTCGTCCCAAATAGCTGTGTCTATACCATCTGTTATGAACATTGCTGCAAGTGAAGGTGTTGGTGGCAGTGTAACAGAGGTCATAGTAATTTGTATGGGTGGAGTGTATACCGGTACGTTCGGAGAGACGGGAACGACGTATCGTATGTGGGTATTCGAAATGATGTTTTCGATGATGATTTCGAGATTGATTTCTTCTGTCCATCGCATGCATCGAAACAGTTCATATACCTTTGAATGTTTTGGTACTGCGTATATCCTGTAGAATAGACAACCGGAACTCAAATAAAAGCAATCGCACCCTGGTCCACCACAAGATTCAAAGCAGCCTGTTCTTCCTGGATACTGATTTGCTTGATGTAGTTCTGGAATTAGGCTTGAGCTATTGATTTGACCACATTTTTCCCCTATGCAAGATCCCATGTGTGCGCAACGTTTGCTATCGTGAACTTTCAATTGAACCGTGCGAGTGGTGTACAATCTTTCGCGGTCACAGTGCAGATATAACCCTTTCTGTTTTCAAAGTCATTTATCTTCCTACAAATGCAATGAAAATGGAATATAGAAAAAAAATATAGAAAAATGGAATATCGAAATTTTCGATGAACCGCTGCTCGCGAGCCAGGGATTATCAAAAAAATTAATATCCTTCAGATTCCATTTCTTCTGTCAAAAACATGCTTAGCAGTGCCGTAGTATATCCTCAGTACAACTTTACAGCATTTTCATGGAGTTTTCAGAAAGATAAATGACTTTGAAAATGAGAGATGATCCCCTGGGGATCCCCAGGGGATCACACAAAGTTGTGAAAATCTGATCTTGTATGGCAGTAACCTGGCATCTATTATGCGTAGGTATTAGGGTATGAGAACCTTCATATCACAGATAGAGTAGCGAAATATGACGCTTCCCCTCTCAGATCCCCTCCCCTCCCCGCGGGGATGTACGTGCATACGGGCCTTAGAGTCTTGCTATCCTCCAAAAGGTATACTCATCTGGGGTCTGTCAGCTAGTTTCCGCCCGTAAGCTCGCTGGCACTCAAAAAGGGGTTTTCAGAATAATTTTGGAGGATGCAATACTCTCCAGTCATTCTTTGTTTCTCAGGCCATATTTACACTCATCAGGCATTTGAAACAAATTTCGCTATATTGTAAAGGGCCTTAGGTTAGTGAATTGCTTATACGTCCATCGTTTATCTCCCTGAAGCCATGGACAAGCTGTTATCATGTTATTGTTCGACGTGTTAGAGTTTTATTTTTTGTTGTTCTTTGGTGCACCGTGAGTGTAAAATAAAATAAAATAAAATAAAATTTTAGCAAATAATAGTGTTTCTCGATAAGCTTACTTCTTTTTGAACTAAACTTGAGAGTGCACAACAAAGCATATTTAATGTGGTAACAGATGTGAATAAAGAAAAACACTTTTCCAAGCATTTTCGAAACAATTTCCTCATACCTGCAATGAAAAATCATTTTGGACAAGCTTACTAGGAACAAATAATTGAATACATTAGGAAGAGCTTGCGAACTAATTCTTAATAAAAGAATGATCTGAAAACTGATTTTCAATTTAACTGAAATTTTGAAATCTACTATTATCCAAACTGCAACCAACTGAAGAATCATGAAGTATTAGAGAGTTTTCCAGTAGCTGCAGCGCATCATCTCCTAGGCTAATTATCAAGGGGCGGAGCGATCAGCGCACCGCGTACGGTACCCAGCTGGCGGCTGGCACATGCTATCGTTCATTTTGACCGCCACCCGTTTGTATTGAATGAGCATCTCTGTGAAGAGTAGTGATTCCCGTAAAATTGCCAAAAAATCAAATTCGTTGTTTTGTTAAGACGAAAAACTCCTCACAGATGCGCTTTTGCACGAACTCGGCACAGTAAAGAGTGGATCCAAAGACTTGCTTTACTGCTTGCTTATCATTATCTCACAAGTTTCAGATTTTTAGCAGCCTAACCAAAATTTCCAAGTTGAAGAGTTCATTTTCCTGCTTTCATTGCAAATGCCACGTCTTACTGAAGTTTATCAAAGGCATCATTACAAAGAATATGAATTTTTCTAGCTAATAAGATTAAAGCAAATCCACTAAGTAAGCAATAATTTATGAATTTTCAAAATGATGCAACAAAACCGGAGCCCGGCACAGATTGTCTGGAACCAGGCTGGACTGCGTTTTTGGGGCAAAAAAGCAAAGGGGATATCTTTTTGTAGGTCTGAAAAACACTAGTTAAGGCTTTTTTACTCGATGTTTCCGATGATGGAACTTTTGCACCAACCTAGTATTTCCACTTTGTTTTCAATATTGGCATTAATCTTCCACTGTTATGTACTTCTAATTTGTCTTCTTGCGGGAGATCATCGATACTGATAGTTGTGGTACACTCGACAAATAGCTACATTTTTTTATTTCCTACATCATACCACATGAAATTTCATTGCTATCATTATGGTTGTTCCTCTAGCTGTTGGTGCGTTTGATATCTTCCGAAAAGTCCTGATTGCTCTCCAAAAAATCCGCGAGCGGGGTGCGAGAACTCAGCAATCTATTTTTCCGGTGCCCGCCTGCCCCCGGCGATTGTCTGAGCTGGTGGGGGGAGGGGGGGGGGGGGTCTAATGAGACGCTCACCGGGAAAGAGGTCACATTCGGCGGTCGTGTGCCACCTTACTCGACCCTGCATGTAAGGGTTAGAATATGCCTATGGTAAAAGTTGAAAAACTTTAAATTGCTGCCGATCTTGTGGTTCCTTCTTAGAAAAGTTATTAGGTTTTCCCATAAGTCTTTTCATTTTTGAGTTTTTGCTGTGATAAGTCGTGTACTTCTTATTCTGAATAAATATCAGAATAACATTCGATAAAGCAAAGCAAGCTTTATAAGACCACGTCTATGCTTTTGCACCAGCTTCAATCCACCTCAAGTTTGAAAGCCAAAATCTAAAGAGTTTCGGATGCCCAAAAGATTTAAAATTTTTCTTCGTTAAGAAATGACCTACAGACCCCTCACTCGCTCACGCATATACACTCCACATCAGACGCTCATATGTGCTGTTGCTGTACTGTTTTATTGTTTTTATGTTTTCTGTTTTTATTGTTAATTTTGGTTTCAAACTTGAGGTGGATCGAAGCTGTGCAAAAGCATAAACGCCATCTTATAGAGCGTGCTTTGCTCTATCGAATGGTATCCTAATATCTATTTAGATTACCCTATTTTCAGGTGTATAAGCCGCACCCTTTTTGCTCTAAACGCAAGCAGACCTAGGCGTGCCGCCGCGTCTCGCGAAGCGGTCGCCTCATCGCATACTGCTCTCACTTAACGCGCTCCATGATGCAGTCAGTCTTTTGGCGTGTTCGCCTTTAGAGCGAAAAGGGTGCGGCTTATACACCTGAAAATAGGGTAAGAAGTGGAATTACTACAGCGAAAACTCAAAAATGAAAAGACTTATGGGGCAACCCAATATTCGACACGCGACAAGTAAAATGATACAAATCCCATTAAGTGTATGGCCTTTGCGAAGTCAAGACACGATTTTTACCAGAGCAACAAATGAGTATATGTCGCGTAGCATGTCTAATCAACAGATTTTGAAGTTCCGATTCTTAGGTATTGACGAAAGTCCAGTCCTTGAAAAAAACACAGCATTCAATGAAGGCGCAAAATCATTCGTCTTTAACACCCAGTTTTTTTTTCGTTCTCCAAGTTTCAAAAACACATCGGTTCTTTGTGTCCAACTACTTCTACCCTTTCATTTGTTTTTTTCCTTACTCGAAAACTGATCATGTTACAACATGCTATGTGAAGTGTTTATACTATTCACGACGCACATAGCACATAGATGACAAACCAACGATATTCAATTCTGGACAACAAGTTGTATATGAGGACCAAGAGTAGATTCTGTGCTTCCATCTGGTAAAGTTTGAACCTTAAAAAAGTTATGGAATTGTAAAGGCTCAAGCATCTTAGGATTCCCAGGAAATATTTCGCATAGTAAACTCACATTTGGCTTTACATCCGGTGACGAATACAAACCGGCGTCAGCTGCTTTGAAAGATTCGATGATAAGGGTGCCATCCTTTTCTACATGAGCTTTGGTTGCGGGAGGGACGGGTTTGTTGTTCTATACAATAAGAACATCATTTCCAAAAGCAAAAGGTGACGTTTGAGAAATGACAAGAAAAATCTTACCGCATTTACAAATTGTGCGCATCTTGGGCCTTTTTCAGTGGGTCCGCAGTATTTGATAAACTCTTCTACATCACCCTTTCTCACGCGCTTCCATGTCACAACATCGGAACCCAGTTCGAGTTTGACAGTTTCTCCAATCTGCACTTTCCAAGAATAGGAGACGAATACTACAAAATGTAAGCTCACCTTAGCTTCTTGAAACAGAAGGGAACCCTGGACGGAAGAAATAGTTACGAGAAAGATAACAACTTTTGTCCACATACCCTAAAATGACGATCTATGATTTGTTGGTGCAGTTACGACTTTCTGCATCATAAATAAGTCTCGGTCATCATATTGAGATAGGACTAATTATATCAGAAAGAGTTGCACACATACAACAACAAACAGAAATATTATTTAATTCTGTTTAAGCCATGAATTCAAAAGAGGAGCATCTTACGCGCAATAACATGCGTTTTTGTGACAATGGCATGCTGCGTTCTTATATTAAAACCTTCATTGTGATGACATAGTTTAGACAATGGAAACGCATTAAGGGCAAAGGATCAGCATAAGTTAAAAGCTTGCTCTTTCGAATATTAACAGTTTCAAAAGTCTAAAACTGCAGTACCAAGCGGCAAGATGTTATAACAATGAACAATGTTTTTCAAGGGATAATGATGATATTCACAGTGAGAGCATGTATAGGCTGGCTGAAAAGCATTGGCGCGTCCAGAAACTATATTTTCTATCAGAAACACATTTTAACACTAATTTTTCATTATAAACAAAGAAAACACAGTAACCCACATAATTTACAAAAACTGGTCGAAATGTTTGTCTTTGTCTTTTACGCATGTCTTAGACATTATTGGTTAACTCGCGTGCGTGGAGTAGAGAACTTATGTAGCGACGGAATGTCTGCGGGACTTAATCACATCTGTCACAAGAAAATCCGAACACCAGCTTAATCGGGAGATTACTGCCCAAGACAACTTATTCTCGCGCATTCATGCAGACCGGAAGAAAATCCGGGGTTTGGCGCGACAACTAATGATATTGTGATCAATTACGGGCAAGATGAGAATTTTTGGAGTGTATTTCATACCCGTTTTCGAAGTTATATGTATTTACCGGTGTTTAAATGGATATTTATGGGGAACTTTTTACTAAGTTTGTACACAGTGTGAACTAGGTAAGCTCAATTCTTCAAGTAGTGGCACTGTAAACAAAACTAAACGCATGAGCACAAGAGTGAAGCTATATCAATGCATTTATTCTAGTCAGCATGGTGATAATGAGAAAAAAATGTTTTATCATAAGATGTAAGAAGGTGAAGTAATGTGCGATGAGATACTGATCTTCAAAGTTCTTCTTCATCTTCGTCGTTTTCATCAGATAGTATACCGGAATAGGGTCGATTGTGGTTGAGCATGTGCGTTTGTCCAAAATAAGTGTGTATAGCTGACGTGCATAGAATATATGTCTATTACCGTCGGTGGAATAAATTTGTTTCTTTCAGACTTAAACTCATAGGAGCGCGCGCAAGTCTTCCCTTTGAAGATATATGCGCATATAGATATGCATGATGTCCCAAAAATTGCGTACTTACAGTTAAAGGTCCTTGCTGGAATTTACTCGGGACAATGCTCGCTCTTTTACACCTTCGGAGAGACGTCCGCGGAAAGATTTAAGTATACTGAAATCGGAATATCAAAGACATGCTGTAAATCAGAAAATTTGCTTTGATGAACTGAGCACAGCACTGTTTTCGGATTCGAAATATACTTGTTCCGAAGGAAGTTATGGCGAGTCGAATTTAAAACGCGTGGTTTTTCCAAAATTCACCAACGCTTCTATCTCCTTTGGAAAGAAGTCTGAGCTTATTTTTAGCACACAATAATCTGCAGGAACAATATTATCGATTACTGCTTAGCAAAGTCTTCTATGTTGAATAGGCGCTGCTTACCATATTCGCGAAAGGACCCGCTCAGAAGAATCTGAGAAAACTGAAAACGGAATATCGAAGACATCATACCCCCACTTCCAATATATCAGAAGATTCTCCGCGCTGAGCTGAATCGAATGGTGGCTTTGAATTCAGAAATCGTCCACTCTGAAGCGAGATATGGCCACGCGACGGTGATGTCCATACATGTAGCGACACAACAGAATATTATAATAACTGTAGAAACTGTATTCAGATATATTGCTGATTCTCTGAGAAATCGAGAAACTGTATAATAACTGTAGAAACTTCGACAAGGACTTTAGGCCATTGGAAGCCATATTCTACCTTGGAACAAAACCAAACTAGCCAAATACTCTTATACTACGGTAGTGGAAGTCGGTGATCTCGAATATGAAATTTTCACTCTACTGTGATGCTTCTTCCAAAGTTAAGTCAGCGTGCGTGAAACTGCAACGTGCACTATTTTTCAAACTCTTTGAAAAAAATTTTGTCAGATGGCATATTTCGCAATGGTTCCAATTGCTAGAAGTTTTTACCGTAATCCTACAGTAACGAAGAGCGATCGGTGATTCGCTCGATACTGTGCAAGTTGAAGCCTCCTCTACGGAATGGTACTTGACTGCCAAAAAGGCCCACTGGGAAGAGAGATATTGACGATCGAAAAGTGTATACTCACTTCTGGGACACCCTGTATATCAGTGGCGGTCCCAGGTTTTCCGGGGGGGAGGGAGGGGGGCAAAAAATTTTCAATGAAGGTGCGGGGCGTCAGCCACGCACTCCGAAAAAATTTTGGGGGTGCTTCTCAAGATTTTTGCGGGTCCCCAACCCCTAAAATCAGAAAAAAGAGGACGTAGCGTCAGCCACGCCCCAAAAAAATTTTTCTACAAGGCTAACTTGATTTTTTAGAAATTTTTAAAAATTTTATTTGTTTGCAAGAATAAACAAGTCACTTTCGCATTTTTATAACCCATACAAGCAATTTTCAAAAAATTTCGCGGAGGTGCTAGAATTCTTCTGGGTAGAATCCTGATGCTAATTATGTGCGAGGAAAGGTGCTAGGAACCCCCGTGTTCCCTTGTGCATAGAAAAACCATTCTTGAACTAATTCGGACCGAACTTTGCCAGAATTTCGCGGCGGGTTGATTGCGATAGGTCGTCCTCCTCGTCGATGGATGTCTGATTTTTCGATTTTGCAACCTCCGAGCTATGAGCTGAAAGTTGGCAAAAGGGGGTGAAAGCATGCTGTTTGCGAGTACAGTAACGATTTTTGGAAAAACCGCCTTCAACCTTTTTCAACCACTTTTGCACACTTTGAGCTATGAGCTGGGTTTCATCCCACGTTTTAGCATACTGATTACGAAAACAACGGATAATATTGACATTATTGATGGGAACCAGGGAACAGGGCCCGGCACGAGGTTGGCAAAAGGGGTTTTCCAAAACGAATTCCCATCAGACTGCCAAAATCTTTTTTTACGAATACCCCTTTGACCCAAAAAGTAATCCTTATGCTTACGCAGTAAACACTTTGCCCAGAAAACAATCTTCATCACAGAAAAAACCTCCAAAACCATTTATTCATAACAACACCAGAAACAAAAAGAGATATGGAGATCAAACCAGAGATCTGCGATGAGATCAACATGAAAAATACACCTATGCACTAGCAGCTTTGAGGTGAGGGGAGTGAGAGGGAGGGCTCCTTACCATTCATGCTCACTATATATGCAATCATCAAACCTTTCACCCTCGGGTACTCTAGTTTCAAATGCTCCTCACACCTTCCTCTCACTCACCCTCAAATACCCTAATTCTGCAAACCTCCTAACACTCCATTCACTCACCCTCATCCTCAAGTACTCTGCTCTTACACTCCTCCTTCTCACACACTCCTCTCACTCACCCTCACCCTCAAATACTCCACTCCCACACCACTCTTACATTCCGATCCTTTCACTCACTAACTTTCACCCCTCGAGCGCAAGTAGTCATTTGCGCTTTGATTTTTGGGGCTGCACTGAGGAGACCCTAGTTGGCGCACACGAATTTAGGCGAGGAGTGACGGCGAGGAAGCTCGCCGCCGCAACGGTAACCAGCGCAGTAGCGCCTTTGCAGCGTCGAACTTCCTCGCCGTCAATCTCGAACTCAGATTCCTTAATGCAACCCCCCCCCCCCCTCTCCTTCGTCGCCCTTTCCGCGTATATGCATACCTCCCTTAAGATATCTTTCAATCTCAATAACGACTAGCTTGCTTACCCGGCTTCGCTCGGCCCTGTCAAAACATTGTAATAAAGGTTCCAACCCTATATCTTTACAGCCTTTCCCTATGCCCACTTCTACACTTGATTTCCCGTTCCCTGTGTTGTTTTCGAAATCAGCATGCCCACCTGTCCCTCCCTCCCTGTGCCAACTCCCAGCCCTTCAGCTCAAATTTTAAAAAAATTGATAAAATCGATAAAAGTAATCGTAATTCTGAAAACTAATATTGTATTCGGAATCCCATGCCCACTTACCCCCTGTGCCAACTCCCAGCCCCGTAGGTGAACTCTGCAAAAAATCGATAAAAGTCGATAAATCGATATCGATCGGTAACAAAAAGTAGCCTATGGCACGCTACCTGTCCCGAAGTATATGTGTGCCAAGTTTGGTCCAAATCGGTTCAGAATTAAAATTTTCTATTCCGCACATACGTACAGACAGACAGAACCGACAGACAGACAGACAGACAGGCAGACAGAAAGACAGACAGACAGCAGACAATTCAACTTTATATATAAGATGTGCATGAAGAGTGGTGAGCAAGTCCAACACGCCGAAAACAACACATTCGCCAGATCTTGGCCAGCATTCCTTCTGTAAGTATAGTAGGTGTCCTGGCCAACTTCCCATAAGTACTTCAACCGCGCATACGCTTCGCGGGCGCTTTTTGCTGCCAAGGAAGCGAGGAATTCCGAGAGCTAGGACAGGAGGTGCGTTGGAGGTGCGTCGCGCAGGTACTTATGGGAAGCTGGCCGGGTCCACACTATATCACTAGTACAATATCGCACATAATTCGTCAGAAAAGTCGCCGGACTGCGGCGCACTCCACCGAAGTGCACTGCAGTGCGCCGGAATGCGACGCAGTCCACAAGAGTGCAGCGGAGTGCGCCGCACTGCACTGCATCCGCCGGAGTGCGCTGTAAGGCGCTGGAGTGCGGCAGAGTGCGCCACACCCCACTAGAGTCCGCCGGAGAGCAGCGGAGTGCGCCGCACATGACTAGAGTCCGTCAGAGTCCGCGTCGCATCGCCGTATCTCGTTTCAGAATGAACGAATTCTGAATCCGAG